TTTTGTCACTTTTTTGTGTTTAAATACATGTAACAAAATTCACCATTTTAAACACTTAGGTGTACAATTCTATTGAGCTGGCATCAAGTGCATTGGTTTTTGTGCAACCGTTACCACTATCCATTTCCAGATGTTTTCATACTCCCAAACGGATACTCTACCCATGAAACATTCATTTTTTGTTCTAATTTCCCTCCACCACCTGCCAGTCATGCACTGAGAAAAGTAGTTTCCACCTGGGTCTTGTTGACAGTAATGGAAAATAAAGGTGCAATTAAAGATAATAAAAGAGGGAATGAAAGAAAGCGGACAGAAGGCAAAGAATGAGGCAATATGTCACTTACGCTATGCAATATGCCACATAAAAACACCTAAGCAAACTACCACTCAAATCTAGATTTCTACACTGGAAGTTCAAAATCATGTCAGTGTGTCCCAGGTAGAATCCACTGCAATCACAAACTTTTTCTGAGAAATGGGGTAAATGAGAAAATATCTCCAAGAAATGTCGTAATTCCATGAAATTATACATGTAAAACAACACGAACAGTTTTGATATGGCAAGTGCTTCAATTACAACTGAAGTACCCTTTTCATTCCACTTATGTAAAAAACACACCCAAGTAAATGACATGTGAACATCAACACTTCAGAGGATGATTTTTGAGAAAACCATGCCACATTTGATGTGAGTGCTTCATATCTAATGTTGGGCATCTGAGGAATGGCTATAGGAAATCTGACCGAGACAGAAATTTGGTGCTGTAATTAGGGAAGAAAGGTAACAAAGTAGTTACTGAAGATGTTGCTGAGAAACAAATACAAAGATAAATAGAAGTAAGTCATAGGTGCTTTGGGAATAGAGGAAAATAAACATATCTATCACAAGAGAAAAATAACCAGAAAACTTAAATTCACAATATTTGCATTTGGGGTCCACGAAGTCCTCTTGGTTCTGAGGCCAGTGGCCCATCATGGACCATCTCTCCTAGGCAGAGAAGTCTTCCCAGGACCCCCATCACATCCTTGTTGCCCAGGCTGTCGATGAAGAGTTCAGTATGGGTGTAACCACAGTGCACATCACTGAGGTAATCAAGCTTCTGCAGTTAGAATGGTTCCAGCAGAACTGAGCTACACTGCCAGGCTTCTCCCATAGGAAAAGGAGATCACAGAGCAGTGAAACCCACAGGTGGAAAATGCTTCATATTTCCCCATGTAGAAGACATTCTTATTAAGGAGGGGACAATCCAAGAGTATGAAAAGAGAATCCCAGTGAGACAGAAGTCAGCTGGCATTGTTACTGACACACACAGATGTTACTGATGAGGGTACCAGATTGCTGGAATTAGGACTTGTGGGTTTTGAGATAATCAATGTCAGTGTATTATATACTGCCATACACACAGTGCAGTTAAGACTACACCCATACTCAGGGCGCCTGGGTGGCTCAGTGGTTAAGCGTCTGCCTTCGGCTCAGGTCGTGATCCCGGGGTCCTGGGATCGAGTCCCGCGTTGGGCTCCCTGCTCCGCGGGAAGCCTGCTTCTCCCTCTCCCACTCCCCCTGCTTGTGTTACTGTTCTCGCTGTCTCTCTGTCATATAAATAAATAAAATCTTTAAAAAAAAAAAAAAAGACTACACCCATACTCAAAAGAGAATCACCTCATCTCCCAATCTCCTTCAAACACAAACATACGGGAATGTACCCAGGTCACTTTTTAAGTAGGCTCCACGCCCAGCCTGGAGGCCAATGCAGGGCTTGAACTCACAACCCTGAGATTGAGACCTGAGCTGAAATCAACAGTCAGACATTTAACCAACTGAGCCACCCAGTGCCCCATCCAGGTCACGTCTGATCAGGAGTTATCACTAAACTTGATTTGGTGTGTACTCCACTGATTTGATTAAGCCAGAAGGGAAATGACAGCCGCTGTAGCCTCCAAGGCCACTCATGACCTAACTAAAGGCTGCTCAAGTGTTACAAGTATCTGAATGTGTTAACTCAAAACTGAAACAAGGTTCTGATGGATTCTGTCTCTATCCAAAGGCCACTTTCAAGAACTGCCAGTGGGGCATCAAGTATAACAGAGTATCAGGACCTGTCCTATTCTCAAGGTTTCCCATCTCATACATCTGAAGTGATGTAAACGAACCAGCACGTCACATGCCAGGTGCAGCTCTTTCTGAACACAGGCAAAGGACATAATTGTTCTTCCAGGCTGTGGTGATTTGGGAACAAAGAGAATATAGTCTGTTCCTAGCCTCTCCATGTACTGCCCGAGGTTAAAGGTATTTTCTAACCTAGTACTAGGTGTGTTGCTCTCTTTCCAAGGCTATGAGATCAGGGTGTATAACCTCACCGTTTATAAAGTCTTTTCTGACCCAGGAAGATCAGGTGTGAGAGAGAAACAAGAGCATTTTCAGGAAATGTAGAGACCTATATCCTCCCCCTTCACCAGCATGAGGCACTGTAGATGGACTCCGTGAGCAGTGAACGGACTCACATGTTCGTCTTCACAGTATTAGACAAGGTCATATACCTAGAGGATCCAGGTAGTTTGTATAACATTAGGTCTAATGGTAGTAGTACCACATGGGGCCAGGCTGCAAACCAGGTATAGAAACTAGACTGGACTAGCACTGCTATTGGGCAGAAAGCCAGAGCATTCCCAAAAATGTTCAGGGCAGAGTGGCACACGTTCAAACCAGATCTATGAAGCCAGCCTATAAGCTGAGTCCCAAATGGCTCTTAAACAACTTCACTGTGTTCCTCCAGCACCGTTTGTAGAAGACTCTTAACTGCTTTCCCACATTGTTTAACTTCACAGGCATCTAACTAGTGAGTTCTTTCATGTATTGGGACACCTGTAGACCTTTCCACATTCCTCATACTCATACGGTTTCCCTCCAACGTGGCTTCGTTTTTGAAATGCACTGGAATAACAGTCCTTGTCAAACTTATTACGTACATAAGTCTTCAATGTATTGTGTATTTTTAGGCGTTAAGTCATGACTACGATGTGAAGCCTTTCTCACGTTCCTTACGTTCAAGGGGTTGCTCTCTGGTATCAATTTTTACATGTTGAGATTGGCCTAAGGGAACAGTGAAGGCTTTCCCTCGGTGTTTACATTCATAGGGCTTATCTCCAGTGTGACTTCAAATGTGCAAGTAGTGAAGGCTTTCCCACAATCCGTACACTCAAAGGATCGCTCTCTACTTTGAATTGTATGTTTATAAAGGTTGGAAGACCAAGTGAAGCCTTTCCCATACTCCTTACTTTAATAGGGTTTCTCTCCAGTGTGAATGCTTAAATGTCAAATCAGGATGAGAGCACTAGTGAAAGCCTTCCCACAGTACTTAACGTTCATAGGGCTACTCTCGAGAGTGATTTCTCAAATGGCTATTAAAATATAAGAAAGTCCTAAAGGCTTCCCCACATTCACCACATTGAAAGGGTTTCTCTCCACTATGAGGTCTCAAACGTTCATTTAGATATGAGGAATTACTGAAGGCTTTCTCACATTCACCACATTCAAAGGGCTTCCCTCCACTGTGAGTTCGTAGATGTTTTTTAAGGACTGAGGGCCAAACGAAAGCTTTCCCACATTCCTTACATTGATAGGGTTTTTCTCCGGTGTGAATTCTCAAATGTACACTAAGTCGTGAGGAATTAGTGAAGGCTTTCCCACACTCCTTACACTTATAGGGCTTCTCTCCCGTGTGAATTCTCAAATGTTCATTAAGAATTGAGGAACTACTGAGGGCCTTCCCACATTCCTTACATTTATAGGGCTTCTCGCCACTGTGAGTTTGAACATGTTTACGAAGGACTGACAGCCAAGCAAAGTGTTTCCCACATTCCTTACATTTATAGGGCTTCTCTCCAGTGTGAATTCTCAAATGTTCATTAAGAACTGAAGAACGACTGACGGCTTTTCCACATTCCTTACATTTATAGGGCTTCTCACCACTGTGAGTACGCACATGTTTACGAAGGAGTGAGGGCCACTGGAAGTGTTTCCCACATTCTTTACATCGATAGGGTTTCTCTCCAGTGTGAATCCTCAAATGCACATAAAGGCGTGAAGATGTAGTGAAGGCTTTCCTACATTCACTACATTCAAAGGGTTTTCTTCCAGTGTGAAGTCGAATGATATGATTATTGAGGCACTTGGAATCTGCATAAGACTTCCCACATTGTTTACATTCATGGGGTTCTTGAGCAGCGTGTGTCTGCACATGCTCATTTTGACCTGCTGAGAAAACTGAAGCTTTTATAAATTGCTTCCATTCATTGAAATCTCTTCCATTGTGAGTTCTCCTATGTGCCTGAAAGTGTGAACGACTAATGAACGTTTTCCCACAGTCACTGCATTCAAAAGTCTTCTCTGCTACGTTGGTTCTCTCATACACTGCATGTGGAGTCCGGGTGAAGACTTTACCACACTGATTAAAATCAGAAAGTTTCTCTCTAGTAGAGTTTTTCTTTTGCAGATTAAGGAGGCCATTGTGATACTGATTACACTCAAAACTGTTCCCTCTATTTTGAGTTCTCATGTGGGTCTTAAGGTTTAAATATTTACTCAAGACTCTTCCACCTTGCTCACAGTCAGAGAGTTCTGCTCCATGGTAGGTCCTTTCCTGTTGATGGAAGGGATGAAAGTTGATGATAGGATTTTCAGACTGATTACAAATTTCAACCTTATAATGCAAGAAACATGATGATGACTCTTAGCATTTTCATTATATAAATACAGTTCCTGTTGATTTCTTTCAAGTTAGACCAGGGAACTCTTCTACCAAAAACTGATGCCACCTACTCTTAAGATCATTCCATTAAAATTTCGCAAAAATGTTTAAAGACTCAATGACAAGTTATGTATCTGGGAATGTGTACCTGTGGCATCTCGGGAGCAACAATTTTCAAGATAGATTTGGATTATAAATCCCAAATCATCATATTCAGAGTATCTCTGAATTACTTTGTCTTTGGTGGATGCCATTTGTCTCAAATATCTCAACTTGCATTGAATTTTATAACAGGACCATCCATCTTTTTTGAATGTGGAATATAAGAAATGTCACATATCAATCTTACTTTTTGTATTTCAATGGCTGTTTTTCCTCCAAAAAAATCCTGGTGAGATGCTGACCCTTTTGTTTGAGGTTGTGTTTCCCATTCTGAAATAAAACAAAAACACAAATTTAAATATTTGCAGGAAGAAATCATAGGCTAAACAATTTTAAATTAAGCTTGGGTGGCTCAGTTGTTAAGCATCTGCCTTCAGCTCAGGTCATGATCCCAGGGTCCTG